CCATTCTTCCCTTGGGATTTTGAGCACACATCCCTGGTGAGAGTTTTAAGCTACCTGGTCCAGTACTCAAACTGTGGTTGACTACGAAGGAGTCCAGTGATGTAACCATTACACCATCTGCTGGTCCCATATGATTCTTCACCCTCCACCCCCCCCCTTTTTTTTTTCTATCAGGTACATGTGCTTGCCAGACAGAGATAGGCAGACAAAATGGGGAAGGCCATGCCTCAATTCCTTCTCCTCCATTCTCCTCTTGGTATCTTGGGCACTCACACACAAATGCCCAGTGTCAGTTTAAGTCACCAGGTCCAGGACTCAAGCCACAGTGGACTACGTGAGTGTCCAGGAATGTAAACATGCCATCTGCTGGTCCTTGGACTGTCACCTTTCTCCATTTGACTTCTATTTCCATGCACCTTTCTTCTCTCAGTCATTCTCATCTAGATAACAGTGTTGTTCCATGAAATGTGGAATTTCTTATAGTAGAATTTGTTCACCGAGAGTCCAAGTGCTTGGTAATTTCACTGCCTCTTCATTTCTCCTCTTTCAGATTTTATGAGGACACTACGCTGATGTAGCATTTACTATATACCAGCAGCTCTTCCAAAGCCCCTCCCACACATTATCTGTGTAGTCTTCACAATAACCATGAAAGACGTACTGTTACTAACTCAGTTGAGGGTACTGTGACACAGATTAAAGAATACCCTAAAGCATATATTGTAGTAGGAGGCAGAATGAGGATTTGAACCCAAGAAGTCTAGTTTCAGGGTCTTCATTCCTGTTTAGGCTTTATTCTACTTGACTTAGCAAGATTTAGTACAGCTGATCCCTCATTGATTCTCAAAATCCTTTTCCTTGCTTGGCTTCCAGACCATCTCACTCACCTGATTCTCCTTCCTCCCTTTCTTCTGCTCTGCCTCAATCTCCTTTGCTGATTCTCCTTACCTCACTGACTCCTGGAAGTTGGAATGCTCCCACAATCATCTTGGGCCTTTGCTCAACACTCAGTCCTTAGTGATCATATTCAGTTTCTCATCTTAAATATCATCTCTTTTCTGATAACTTCCCAGTCACCATGCCTTGCCTGGAACTCTCCCATGAAACCAGACTCATGTATCTACCTGTCCACCCAGCTTCTCCACCTGGATATCTAAAGTGCATCTCAAAATCAACCTGCACCCCAACTGAGCTTCTGCTCTTTGATAAACTCACTATTCCTCAACTTTAGCCTTCTAGTTGTCCAGGTTTGTTTCAGTGAGTTCTGGCCTCTAACACCTTGTTTTCTCCTCCACAACATCCAATTGGTATGGAAAATATATTCGAATGTGACCATTGCCACCACTCCCCACTCTGGTCCAGGCCCCATCACTTTTTTTCAAATGCTGCAATGACTTCTATCTGGTCTCCCTGCTCTTGTGTCCCCACCAGAGTGACCCACGTGAATCAAGGGACTTCTCTCCATGGCAAAATTTTAAGGGGGCATCCAAAACTCAATATTTAGGGGAAATGGTATCTGAATGCAGTATTATTATTGATGCTTTTAAGTGTCATGACTTTCCCGACCGCCTAATATTTTAAAAATTAAAATCAATACACAAAAATCCATAATAAACAAAATAGCGAAAACTTGAAAAATAGAACTAGTCGTTATATTTGTATTACTCATCTCTCTTGCCTCTCATGCTAGCCCCAGCCCTGACCCTTTTTTACATTTTTATCATTTTTTCAATAGTCAGAGAGACCTTGCTAAGACACACGGTGATACGATCAATCCTCTGGCTTTACATCTCAGCGCAACAGCCAAAGTCCTTTCTGTGTCCGGCAAGATCTCAGATGATCAGCTCTGACCTCAATGTCTACTTCTCTCCTCTACCACACGGCCTCGCCGCTATTCCATCAACAAACCTCCACCTCCATCTTTACTCTTACCAGGCCCTACTCCAAATGTTGGGTCATTGGGAAAGTCGTATTTTTCCATGTTTTTCTATTAAAAATGCGTCATGACTTTCCCAACGACCCAATACATTTCTTACTTCATCTGGGTTTCTTCCCCAATCTACTCTATTATGACCAGATTACTACAATGCTTTTCTACCCCTAAACATACACTTAACACTCCTCTTCCATTCTTTATTCTTCTCAGAAATTGTCATAAGCACCCTATATTTTACTTACTAGTCTTATTTTCTCTTCCACTATAAAACTCCATGAGAATTTTTTGGGGGGAGAGGGTCTGTTTCTTTCCCTGCTACATCCTTAATCTCTCAAAAATTTTTGGAAAATAGTACATATCTAACATTTTTTGAATTAATAAATGAAAAATACAAATGTTTTCCTCTAGGTGTGATGAACTAAATGCCAGCTGTATATAAATGTGTGTATAAAATATAAAACTTATATATGTCTGTTGGTCCAGCTCACTCTCAACACATACATATGTGTGTATATGTGTTTTGAACCCTAGTGTCTCAAATTATAATGGAAACAACTTTTCCAAATGCATTAATCTCAGATCTGAAAATTTTTCAAGGTGCTAAATTCAAAAATATATTACAAATTCTTTATTTTATATTGACCAAGCCCTTTATCTAAAGTTTCACTTCCTTAAAAAAATATATTTACCTGGGATTCAAATTCACCTCTTAGATTAGGGCAATACTGGGAGAAGGGGTTGTTTTTGAGAAATAAAAATTGAAAATGAGAGTCGTTTGTAACAAATCCTGAATTTCAATTCCATGTCTTGATTTCCAATGACTCGAGAAGTTACCCAGATATTCTCAAAAACTTTATAGTTGAATGTTATGTGATCTAGAGACCTTTCTGGTGTTAAAATGCCTTTAATCACTTTCATTAATTATTAACCAACACTAAAGGTTGAAAAGTTTTGTAAACAAATACAAAATTGCCATCTCACCATGAGCTGTTATCTTTTGGATGAAAAAGCAGCAGCTCAGCAAGAGCAAATCTACAATTTGGCCCAAAGACTATAGCCTTTACCTTCCCAGAGCTCTAAGACATACCTCGGCAACTGTCAGGCACTACCCACAGCCTCCCTGCTCATGGAGGTTAAATTCAGCATGGAAAGAGAGTCTGAGTGTGTCCTGATGAAAACAAGGTAACATTGGAGAGACACGCAAGAGTTAGATTTATGTTTTAAAAGCTGGTTTCCTTTGTACATCTTCAAAATTCCTTTTGTGGTTTTCTTTGTCTGCTTAAGAGGATTTATATTATTTCTTAGAGATGTTTATGACTTTATTCCCCAGCATCCTAGGATTATAAGCAGGTCTCATGTTCCCCTAAATTGTTGTAGCCACCAAAAGTGTAGTTACACTGTAAATGTGTCAGTAAACTACTTGTCCCAGCTGAGTTTCTACATGCAGTATTTCAAATCACTAATATCAGAAGGAAACTTTCTAATTTGTCTTAGCAAAAATACAAAGCCAGAAATAAACAAAACAAACAAACAAACAAAAACATGGCCTTTTGAAAAGTATAGACATTAATAGTGGTATGGTAACCGACCGCATTAGCGTTCTCTCCGTATAACACAATTCCCAAAAACTGAGCAGAGCAGGGGAGCTGGCATGCAGACAACACTAACTAAATAGCAGGTCATCAGAAAAGTTGTGATGCATTTTTGCATAGAAAAATATGTCATGACCTTTCCGATGATCCAATACTTTTGAAAGGATAAAAGCAAACTGAGTCAACCTGAGCTAGGAGAAAGCAAGCATTAACAGAAAGCGAGAAGACAAAAATGGCTGTTTCTGTACAGAGGATGACACTGTTCTCTCTCTGTACTGGCTAATGAATAGTGTCCCTCTGAAATCTCGCTTTGTCCTTTGGCTATATAAATTATATTGAAAATATTGCTTCCTGGGCCAGCTCCATGGCCTGGTGGTTAAGGTAGCAAGTCTTACATGGCTGATCCCACAATTCGAGCTCTAGACCCAGACAAAAATTTCAAAAGGACCTGTAGTCAAATACATTTGAGTTGCATGGGACTCAATTCATCGTGAAACAACATTTTCTCTGTTCTGGTTGGCGAAGCACATGAAGCAGAGTGAAAACCCAGCATGAAACCTTCACTAAGCCACTCAGGTTAGCCTTCAGCTGTGGGTACATGGCAGCCTCCAACGTCTCAAACCACTGCCACCTGGAGCCTTCCAAATGGTCACTAGCCTGGTCTTGGGAACCTGTGGATCTGAGCAATTATGTCTGAAATGATGTTCAAATTGTGTGTCCCAAATAGAAAGCACAGGCCCAAAAATGCTGCCAGTATATATTCATGTCTATATACATGAATACAGACATATGAAAACCATCATTTCTCAGATTTGACAAAGGGTTTCGTGTACTCTCCTGAATGGTGTATGTGATAAGTGGTGTGAGAGTCGGTAGGCCCCTCCCATACTCACTCAACAGCACCCAAGGTCTTTGTTTTGTTAAAATCCATGTCACATTCTTATTTCATAGTTTTCACCATGATGCCTATATGTATGACAACAGCATATGATGTTCTAGAACTTCATCTTTGGATAATAAGTACATAAATGTCTTAGGCAACACAGAGATTAATGAGGCACATCATCTGAGAACTGTGACACCTTATCTTAGTGGAGTTGATTTAGGGATAGTGCCCTTTCCTATGAACATGAGGGCTATCCTTCACATTCTTTCAATGGACATGAGCTAAATAATTTTTGAGTATCTGATGACGTCCTGAGATAACTGGGTTGAGAACTACTGATCATCACTTTAATCACAGAACCAGTATAATTCTTTTTAACTTCTAAATTTCAACTACAATTGAACATTTTATAAAAACTCTTTTTAAATAAGTCCAGTTAGCTGGCTTCATGTGTGTGTGGCTGTTCATTGCTCTAATGTTAGTGATGCATTCACAGAGAATGTTTTCTAAAGATATCCTTCATGAAAAGGCCAAGTTTGGATTTGACACCAATCATTTACTTAATTTATCTTAAATTTGGTTTCAGTGAGCAACCCTAATTAACGTGATTTTTTGCTGATAATCACTCTCAATGGAATCAAATCACAAATCCGGGGATGGATTGATCGGCACCCAGAAGGAAGCAGCGCTCCGTGCACTAGTCCAGCGCACAGGATATAGCCTGGTCCAGGTAGGAACTTCTTATGACCTCTGCTGAGACCCACTGCTGAATTCGTTAGAGTGGTGAGAATGTTAGTGGCCTTAAGATGCAACATGTAAACAGTCAGTTGTGAAACTCTGTAGATGGGTGTTCTTTTCCTATAGAGAAGGCAATCATATCATTTCAATTGTGTGGATTACCCTGCAGGTATCGTTCTTTCTACTCCAGTTTATTAACTCAGCTTTAACTTGTCTATTGACAACTTCCCTTTGTCTTGTCCCCAATCACAGAGTCTATCGCAGTCTTGAAAGGCCATTTCAAAATATGAAAGGCAGCTGGACTTTCCCACCCATGGCTCCAAAGAAAAGTCAAGCTAATATTTCAGGAATCAGCTGATAACAAACTGCTCAAGAACTCGTGTTAGTGTCCAGAGACAGCACAGCTGCTGAAAGTGGACTCCTAGATGTGGGCCCCAAGGCAAGGCCCTTTGTCAGCCTGGCTGTTGAACCGCAGAGGCCATGTAAGACCCAGCTACTCTTGAGCAGTGTGCCACCAGTTCACCATGGCCAGCCCATGTTTTTCTGCATTATGTTTTAATCTTCCCATATCAGTTGACTACTACAGTTTCTGATTCAGAGTTGAAGCAGAGTGAGGGATAAAAGTGAAGATGAGGGGGAAGGACATATTCTATTTATTACCATCACTGAGTACTCTGGACCCGACAAGTCCATGGAGCTTGTGACACAGTGAGGGATGGTCAGAGACTTCCCTCATTCTACTTCTGGGAGTTGCTCACCTGACTACACATTTCTCAGCTTCAGCCTCCTGCTGAGCTCCTTTTGATATCTAGGCAGCCCTCTGGGAGATGATGAACAATTACCTCTGATTCTTACATGAGGCCAGACTCTAGTCTCCAGGAAAAAAACATCCTCTGGCCTGGTAAAAATCTGAACATGAACAAGGTAATCGCCTCTCCTTGCCATCATCAAAATAACAGTCCACCCCTTCACTTACCTTTAGATATTTCCAGAGCTAGTTAGGACCCTCCTACCTAGTATGTTCTATAAATGCAAATGCGAAGGCAGGAGAGAGAAATCAAAGCTTTCAAAGTGGTTTACTTTCTGTTCTCTCTTGCTTTAGGCAAATGAGAGGAATCTCCCAATCCTCTTAGTTAAAGGGAAGTAGAACTCACAGCACAACAGTGATTGTCTTAAAATATCATTGCATAAATTCCAAAAGAGGAGTTTTTAAGCTGGGAGTGTTATGAGAGAGCTAGGAATGCACAACCTCCTGCTTCCTCCTCATCCTGCTTGCTGGTGAGTTGGTTTCATGTCTAAACCAGAGGCCCAAAGAGCCCAAATCTATCTTAAAATCCTGTTACAGGGGTCAGCAGGTGGTGTGGTAGGTAAGGCACTGGATTTCACATGGCCAACTATAATTTGAGTCCTGGACCTGGCAGCTTGAAACTTACACTGGGTACATATCATGCATGCCCCAAATTCCAGAAGTGTGAATTGCAATGTGCCCAACCCCCAGGGGGTGATTTTTTAATTTTCCCTGTCTCTTTATGTTGAACACACAGGCCCTATGGACAAAATAAATAAATAAATAATAAAAATTTAAAAATAAAGAAATGAAATCCTGTTAAAAATGAAATAGTATTCAGTTCCTAAATTGATCATTTAAAAATTCTGTAAGACAGGGCCAGCTCCAAAGTGCAGTGGTAACATACTGCTTAAGTTAAGCTGGACCCTACGTGGCAACCAGTGTCTGAACCGTCTGCTTGGTCAGCCTGAAACACACTGAGGATACTCACAGAGGCCCAGGATCTGAGGAGCTAGGGGAATAGAGGAAGGGGATCATGATCATGGCATGACCAGACTCTTTTGGATAATCAATCTCTCTCTCTCTCTCTCTCTCTCTCTCTGCCATATGTGTGCCCATGCACTCTTTCGTGAATAAAGAAAAACATATTTTATTTCTATAAGACAGAATATTGTAGCACTTTATAATCACAGCTATTTAAAAAGTTGAAAAATAACTTTTTTTAAAAAACAGCCTTGGGACCAGCAGTTGGCCTAATAACTATGCTGCTGGACTCCCATGTAGTCAATCATGGTTCGAGTCCCAGACCCAGAGGCTTAAACTCATGCCAGGTGTGTGTGCCTGCGTGCCCAAATCCCAAGAGGAGAATGGAGGAGAAGGGATTGCAACATGGCCATCCCCCTGGGGGGTGATTTCTCGCTTTCTGTCTCTCTGTCTCTCTGTGTCTTTCTTGTGAGCACACACGCCCTATAGCTAAAACCTCTCAAAAAAATAATGTTCACATAACAATGGAGATAGTTTTTCTTCATTGTATAATTTTCCTCCCTTGTAAAACCTAATGCTGTGACTTACAAATATTTGTATAATAGAGAAAAAATATATAACTTAACATGTTTTTTGTATAAAATATCCCTAAAATATATGACCAATCTATATAGCACTTTGCTCTTATATATCTGATAGAATTCAGAAAATGTTAATAATGAGGATTTAGAACACAAGTTAACAGTCATAACAATAATAACAAAAGTAACAAAATTAAAAGTAAAGGTGTATTGGGCACTTATATTCTAACTACTTTATATTATTTATTCCTTTCTACAACAGTATGAAGTAGCAAGTATGATCATCCCCAATTTTCTGATGATTAAATCAAGACACAAAGAGTTCAGATGACTTGCAAGATTGATAGACTAGGATTCCACTGCTATTGGCCAAAAATTCAGGCCCAGTTTAAAGAGCTAAGAGTTATTATAATGGTATTTTTAAGACTATAATGTTAAAGATTAGCATGCCAGAGCATACAAAATATTTTGTTGGTAAAGAGAAATTGCCAATCAATATATATGGCTTATTACCAGTTGATGATGACATGTATAGTATTCTCAACTGGATGGGTCTGAGAAGTATTTCATGATAAATAGTCTTTTTACAAGCAAAATGAGAAATAGTTATCGACTTTTAAAAATAATTAGAATAATAACAATAATGATTGGGAAAAACATAGAAAAGATATTGAATGATGAAGTGGGGAGATTAATATCTCTGTATTGACTGACATGCATGGCATTCCCTTTTGAAAAAGCAATGTAATACACTGTAAAGTTATATGTAATCCAATGTAATATAAAGATTATGATGATAAAAATAAAAAAAATAAAAAAAACAAAAAAAGAGAAATTGCCAATCATATATACATATGAGCAAACACTGAAGATACCCATCATAATGTGGTATTCTCTGTTTAAAACAATGAACATAATAGTCTTGATTTATTACACACTGCATGCATACTTTGAAAATTCAGTGTACCCCACAAAAATGTACAACAATTAAATATCAATAAAATTATAAAAAAGAAAAAGTTAATAGGGAAAAAATATATTTTGTTGGAACCTGAACTTTGTAATACAATTTAAGTAGTATTTGTTAGAAGATTTACTGTTAGGTCAGAAGTTCTCCAGGAATATAGAAGCCTAAATTTCCAAAACCTAGTCATCTAAACTTAAAGCCTCTAATTATTATGTAAATACATATGAGGAGACTTCACAAAGTTTGTGGAAAAATGGAATTAAAGTACAAGTTTATTCTGGTGCAAAATAATTTTGAAACCCCTGCATAATTTTTTATAACACACATTTCCTTGACGTTTTGAAGATCCCGCCCCATTGAATATATCTGAATGATTTTAAATGACAAAATTCCTCAAAATTTTAGTGGGTGGCAAAGTATACAAAATTGCCCAAGATTTCAAATCAGAAGGTCTTTAATCTACCCTGGTCTCTAACATATACAAATAGTATAATTTTAAACAATTGTTTTAATCTCTTCAGGCCTTTCCCAGATTAGCTAGGTTCTATTGTATTCTATTAGCCATGATTTTGTGATTCGGTCTTGTGAATCTAGTCATGCCTTATAGATGTGGTTATGCCCCCATCTCTTTTCTTACATTTCTACTTCCTTTTGGGATTCTGGGCACAAACACACGTAGGCACCTGGTATATTTTTCAAGCCTCCAGGAACAGGATTTGAACTGTGTTCAGCCATGTGGGACATGTGGGATCTGGCTCCCTTAACCACGAAGCTACAACACTTTAGTCTTCTCAATACCTCAATCTTCCTATTCTAAATGACAGGAAAGCTTAATAAGATTTTTTCAAAGAAAAAAAAAAAAGAGAGAAGAAGAAGAAAGCAACCTCAGGTTTAGCTCTTTTAGTCTCTACAAAAAATAATTGTCTTCATATAATTCAAAGAACATACCAATAAAATGATAGTTTAGAATTTATGGTATTTTCTTTTTTTTTAATTTTGTAGTTTCTTCAAGTTTTCTTTTTTAAAATTTACATTTAATCACTATATATCTTTACAATGCACAGCATTGCTTTTTCCAGCACAAATACAGTGGGTATCAGTCAAGACAAAAACATTACCAAATATATTATCATCATCAAATAACTTCATTTTTGTGTCAAATGTATTCTTTTTAGAATTTATGGTATTTTTTAAGATAGAATTTGAAGGATTTACATTTGCTGTATCTTTGCAGTCTCTGATATCGAATTTGTGCTCTCTTATCACTAGCAGAATAAATACAGCTGTCAAAAATAGAACTTTGTGAGTTACTTAATAACATGAACTAATCTTTTACATAGCCGCTGATGCAATTGTATGTGCTTGCAAGGTTTTGAAAATAGGCTTTGGGGTATCTTTTTTTTAGAATTAGATATATTTAAATATTGATAGCTAAAAATTTTTATCAAAGTACTCTAGAGTATTAAAAAACTTAATAGTCACCTATATAGAATATACATTCTATAAATATTATTGATAAAAAGGGCATAATGTTGACAGATTAAATTTAAGCTTTGTGCTCCAGCAGTTGGCATAATGGCTATGTCACTGGACTCTCATGTAGTCAACCATGATTCGAGTCCCAGACTCAGTGGCTTAAACTCATGCCGGGTGCATGTGTGTGTGTGCCCAAG